CCAGGAAAGGAAGCCGGGCGGTGCGGAGAAGGAGAAGAAAGCCAGGGATCGAGCAGGAGAGCCAGAACACTCCGAGGGCTGGGAAGGACGAGTGGGGAGGAGGGGAGGGTCGCAGTTTGCTCCCCGTTGCAGCAGCAGCAGCAGCAGCAGTTCTGGAGGAATCGGGCGGGGGAGGAGGAAGAGCGATTTCAGGTTGTGCTGGGAGGACCTCAGGATCGGGCGGGGCAGAGGGAGGGCGAAGGTACCGGGGCGTGGGGGGTGGGTGGGGGGAAAGGACCGCCCGGGCGGTGCCCAACGCTGGCGAGGCTGCGGGGGGGGGGACGCCTGTGGGAAGGGTGGAGAGGCGGGCGCGGGGCGTGGGGGGAGGCGGGCCGAAGCCTCTTCGGGAGCCCCCGGGATGTCACTCCTGCCTGCCCGCCTGCGATGCAAGCCACAACTCCGCGCGCTCCGTCGCGGCTGCAGCAGCGGACAAAACTTCAGCGGCCCGTCTGAGTTGCGGGATCGAGCGGGATCTCCCCGGGCTGCTCGGCGGCCAAGCGAGGGGATCGGGCGGAGGAGGGTTCAGCCAGAGGCGGCCCAGCGCGCCGGCTTCGCGGCCTCCCGCCTTGACCTTGCCGCGTCTTGGCCAGCCCAGACACGAGTCACCTGCCGCGCCGCACCGCCGGGACTAATTGGAGACGGACGGCCGAAGCAGGCAGCTGCGCATCGCATCGCCGGCTGGGCGTCGCCAGATGCAGGTAGGGGCGCCCCCTCCGAGCAAGGCAGCTCCAAGCGGATGCCTCGTGTGATCCGGGCGGCGGCTGGGGGTTGCGCCGCGGTTTCTGGAGCCAAACTTAGCCGAGATGAAACTTAAAAAAAAAAAAAAAAACTCTGCCCTCATTCACACGTTGCGCTCTCATCCCGGGAATGCGACACGTATTGGCGTCCCCTCGGGCTCTGCGGAGGAGGCAGGGCAGGAGCGGGAGAAGGGCTGCTCCGGGCTGGGGTTTATTCCGAATCTGCATCTGGATCTGCTTTCTTCGGCGCGCATCTCTCTGTAGGATCGCGCGACTTGGGAGCTCTGGAAGGTGCGCGGAGTTGGGAGCACCTTTCCGTTACGGGCGAGTTCCTGCAAGGAATGTCTATGGAGATTCTCAGTCATTCAGGTCGCGGTTGTCCCAAAGGTGCCTTTTCTTTTTCAAGAGGCAACTGGACTTTCTTCAGAGCTAAAGAAGCTTCTTGGGTAAGAAGCGAAACGTCTTCAAAGAAAACCCAGAAAGTCAAGTTGCCTCGTAAAAAAAAGCACCTTTGGGGGCCCTCAAGGAACTGTTGCATGGGGGCGGGGAGGCAAGGGTGACTCTTTCCCGAAGCGGAAAACTTCGGGGTGTTTGCAAAAACCCCGCAGCTGTTCTCACTTTCGCCGGCGTGGCTAAACCTCTGCGCCCTTGTTTGAGCGCAGTCGGTTCCCCTGGAGTCCCTGGGAGGGGGCTGGGCCGGTGAGTTCGGCGCAGGGAAAGGGGCTGCTGACAAGTCGGGCTTTTCGCGGTGCAGGAGGCAAAACCGAATGGAGTTCATGGGATCCGGGAAGTGAAGTTCCCCTAACTGTCTTACTAGAGGAAGACCTTGGGGAAAAAAACAGCCTCAGCGCTCACCTAAAGCCATTTTAATGTACCCGCCTTGAGTTCTTTCAGTTTTTGTCTTCGAAAGGGATCCTGACAGGTATCCAGTGCAGGTGCAGGATTTGTCCAAAATTAGAGGCAGAGGAGCAAATATCATTTGCTGTCATTTACCCCTATACCCAAGGTACCAAGAATCTGCAGCCAAACCATTTTTTGAAGAATTAATTAGTTTGCCCAACATATAGAAATAGGGCAATATTTTGAGTATAGAGGGTTAGGTCCTTAGGTGCAAGATTACAATAAACTTTAGGTCCTTGTTTGGTTTCCTGATTGAAACCTGATTCCTCTTGTTTCAAATTTCGATGCACATTAGGGACTGGCAACCTAATGTCAAAACGAGGTGCATTGAGCATTGAGACGGCTGCTCCTGTCTGCTGCTTGGGGGCTTCCCTTCTGCCTGGGGGATGGAAGTGGTCTCCAGCATTGAGACTCCTAAAGGGCAGTTTGCTCCGCTTGGCCTCTTTTCATTTTGGGTGGTCCTTATCCCATTTTGGGTGAAGTCCAGAATTTCCAACAGGATGACTTGACAGATGAATAAAAGCAGCGCCACAACCTTTGATACAGTGCAGCTGTTTTTGAATGGAACGGCGTGGTAAGGATGCTTCTGGCTCTGATCAGGACATCAAGGTAGCGCAAAGGAGATTGCTGTTCAGCCTCTAGAGCAGAGGTCTCTAAACTTGGCAACTTAAAGTTGCCAAGTTTGGGGACCCCTGCTCTAGAGCTATTTCTCCAATTTTAGGCTTCCAGTAGAATCACAGAGGTCCATGCAACAAGTTTGTTGGGTTTGTAGACATCCCATTTGGCCTTTGGCAATCGAAAGATGCTAGCCTTAGAATGAGCCATTGCTTGGATTGAGCAAAGCAATTTATTAGGCCCTTGGGGACTAGTCCTTTCTCCTTTTACACTGAGAACAAGGTTAGCAGGGTAGAGACCTCAGGTTAATTTAATTACTGAAAGAGCCCTGTCTAAAACAATGGAAGGGAGGAATCTTATCTGTTTACACAAGTAGATCTCAGTTCAGGAGCCTACAAGCATGGAGAGACGTCTAAATACTATTCAGATAGCATAAATCAAGCCAGATCTGGTGCTGTTTTGGTCATATAATTCCCTAACCAGCAATACTAAGTCAATGTGACCTGATTTTGTGACCATTCAGATTCCAAATTTTTGTAATTGTGAATCGTTTACTGTTTTTCCTTTCCATTTTGTTAATCAGTGTCCATTCTGAAGGTCAATAACCTTTATTTATATGCTAGTATCAGTGTGTGTGTAAGCACTGAAATAGTATTTGGGGAGTAGAGTTAAGTGCCTTTAAATTTGAGAATTATTCCCAGAACCTAAAGTACCGTGGCATATGAGAACTCAGATCTAATTGTCTTTGATAAAGGGTTGAGTTGAAGAAAGTCAGCAGGACAATCAGTGCAACTGTCCTAACTTACCTCTTGTGGCTGCTTTAAAAATGTATGATTAGAAATCCAGCTGTGGTTCTTGGATGTACTGTACATATGCATATATTTATATATTTTGTCAACTTTATATCCCACTTTACTTAAATCATCTATAGCAGACACTGCTAATCTCAAGCTTTCCAAAGGATGGTCTTTCCATTTTTATAATTTTTACACAACACGGATAGCAATTATGTGAGCTGTACTTTTGGAGGGTATCCATTGCTGATGGCTATTGTGCTGAGAAAGTCAAAATTATCTGTGTGCTGTAGCAGTGCTGGTCAAAGATAAAATAGGCCCCATTCAACCCAACCATATTTGGTTAAATGAATTGGGGTGGTTTTTAAATATACAGCAGAGCTGGGCTTGATATATGCCACATTATTGCCCTGTTTGTACAGCAGTGTGTATATACATTATGACAAGCTTTTGGCTACCAGACTCAAGTACAACTTCTGCTTTCCCCCCTTATCTGTACTATATAGATAGTACTTCTTCTCATATATATGCAACAAGCAGCTGTATTTGCGTTCTCAGCTTTGTTGACCCAGTTGTAAACAGTATGATTGATGCTGCTTGTGATAGTGTCTCAACAGATGGCACTTGTGGTGTGTGTTGCAGGCACAACCAACTTCCCCCTTGCATTGAAGTGGAACATACTTCTTGCTTCAGATTAAGTTATTGAATCAGGGTAGTTTAGATTGCTGTGGTCTTTGAAGCTGCATATGGCCTCTTACTGGTATCATAATGACTTAGACATACTTTTTCAGGGCAGTAAAACTGTCTTTGGGCTATAATATGTCAGTCTGGGAATCTTCTCAACAGTATACAAAAAATACTGCCTGCTCAGGAAAATCCAGAATGCAAGAAGAAGGTTTATGGTTGCGGTGATCTCTTGTTTTCTTTATGAAGGGATGTTTTATATGGAGGTGCATTTTGCTATATCACCCGTGACCTGCAATTTGAAGTGGAACAGCTCAAGTCTTTGGAGAGAACCAAATCTTTTTTACAGAACTGCAGGATTATTTGGTCCGATTTATAGAAATCTTTGTTTCCATTCCGTGTTGTGTCTTCCACATTGTTTGCCTGCAGCTTTTAAAACTGCCACTTTTATAGCTCATTTGAGTGTCTGGCTATGAGAGAACATTCAACAGCTCTTGAGTTAAATAGGGCTAGTAGGTGTTTAGAAGGTTGGAAAGAGGAGTCGGTCGGAAAGCAAAACTTAGCGAGCAATAGATTGAAACCCAGAAGATGACTTCTTGGGTGAAAAACCTGGGATGATTGGATCAAGAGAAGAGAGAGGTCACTTGAGGGAAACTTCATTTAGTCATACTGTATTACTGACACCCTACGAATGACACACCCACCCAAAACTCTCTCTATTAATATATTGGAGAGCCAGTGAAGAACCTGAAACTCTCTTCTCCGTAGGAATATTTTGAGCAAGGTCACTCTAGGTCAGGGGTCCCCACGCCATAGTGGGTGGACTGGCAATGGGCCACGGCATGCCAGAAACCGGGCCGTGCAAACCAGGGAAGCCCCAACCACAGGATGCAGGCAGCACACCATGGTCCCTCTGGGGCACAGAAAAACATCTCTCCACGGAACCGGTCCCTGGTGCCCAAAAGATTGGGGGCCACTGCTCTAGGTGGTATAGGAAAGCAGCCACTTATATATAAATAATAGATATTATTATATAATAATATACAATAAAAGAATTACGTGTGAAGATGTCTATGGAGAATCTCAGTCATCCAGGTCATGGTTGTCCCAAAGGTGCTTTTCAAAAGACAACTGGACTTTCTTGGGTTTTTTTCCCCTTAAAAACATTTTAGCTTCTCATTCAAGAAGCTGAACTGAAGAAGCTTCTTGGATTAGAAGTGAAATATTTTCAAGGAAAAAAAACCAAGAAAGTCCAATTGCCTTTTGAAAAGCACCTTTGGGATAGTTGTGAAGATGGCATAACCTGCTGAAATGGCTAAATTGATTTGTTCAATTAGGGAAAAGATAGTATTTACGTTTATCAGTCACTGGAAAACCCTTGTGGACATTTTATGTCAAAAAGAAAAAAATATGAATTTGTGATGTTTGGTTTTGTTGATTAGTTAAGATAGATTATAGAAAAAAGAGTCATGATGAAACTTTAGATAACTGCTGTGGAGAAATTCAAAAACCACTACTTTATATCTCTCTTTACATATTTTTAATTTTTAAAATATTTTTGGCATGTTTTGCTTTTTCTTTTCTTCTTTTTTGTTCTATTTTGGTTTGTTTTAGTTCTTACTTTGTTAAACATTTCCATAAAAATACATCACAGAGAGAGACAGAGGGAGATGATTTACAGTTAAAAAACAATCTCAGTGAATTAATTTGACTGGCTCAGTCTAAAAGTGATTATATAAAATATAAAAACAAGCTCACCTTTAGTAATGTGGGCATTCTTATCCACATCTTAAGTTTTGAGAAACCAATTATATACTTGCACAATGATTTTTATCTTTGAGCACTATATACATAACAACTATAATTTCTGGTTTGCTGAGGATGTGTTTGGTGTTTGGTGAGGTCATATAGTTTCCTTTTCTATATTGGACAAGCCAAACATTTCAACCGATACATAGACTGGACACA